TCGGCAGGCGGACCCCCAAGCACTGCGCCACCAGGGAAGCCCGGGGTAATTGGTTTTAATCAGAGTTGCCAAAACAATTCAATGGTCAAAGGAAAATCTTTTAAACCAATGATGTCTTAGACAGAAAAATACTTTCCAACCTTTACAGGACACTATTTATGAAAAAAAAAAAATCACAATGAACTATAGACCTAAAACAAAGAACTAAAACTATAAAAATTCTTGAGGAAAACATAGAAAATTTTAGGGTTCTGGATTAAGAGAAGATTTCTTAAGAAGGACAATAAACAGGCACAAATCATACAAGAAAAAAATTGATATTTTCATCAAAATGAAAAGCTTGTCTTTGAAAAATTCATACAAAATGAAAAGGCAAGCCACAGATTGGGAGAAAATATTAGCAAAACATATATCACACAAAGGAATTGTATCTAAAATATGTACAGAACTTTTACATCTCAATAGTAAGACAAGTAACCTATTACTATATTGGGAAAAATATCTCAACAGATTACAACACCAAAGAAGATACACAGATTGTAAATAACTACATGAAATGATGCTCAGTGTTACTAGTCATTAGGCCAAATGCAAATTAAAATGAAGGGTGCCACTAGAAGAACTAAAGTTAAAAAATATAGCCCATATCCAGGTGTTTTAGAATGTGGACCTAGAACTCTCATTACACTGCCAGTGAGAATATAAAGTAGTTTAATGCCTTTGGAAAACAGTTTGTTTCTTAAAAACATCTACCATACAGCCTTGCCATTTCCCTTCAGTTCTTTACTCAAGAGGAATGAAACCATATGTCCACACAGAGCCACATCCAATAATATCCACTGCAGCTGGAACAGGTTAATGGATAAATAAGTTGTGGTCTGTCCACACAATGGAATCCCACTCAGCAATAAAGTGGAATTAATTATTAATGTACATAAACATATGGATGAAGTTCAAAATAATTATGCCGATTGCAGGAAACCATTGACTAAAATGAGTACATAGAATATGATTTGATTTATATAGATTTCTAGAAAGTGTAAAGTAACCATGGTCACCTGGGAATGATTAGGGAGGGGAGTGAGGGATGAAGAAAGTTTTGGGGGTGATGGACAGGTATGTTATTGATTGTGGTGATACATTCATGGATGTATACATATGTGAAGCTTGTAAAATTGTACACTTTCTAATGTACAGTTTATTGTACATCAGTTATATCTTGATAAATCTGTTTAAAAAAAGATAAAGAATTGTGTTTAAATAATTTCTAGATGTGGTAATTTATGCAGTGGCTAGTCTTAACAGCAACCACTCATTTTGCCTTTTGAAATTCAAGATTTTCTAGCCACAGGAATTGGCTGAGAGCAAAAAATGTTTTATTAAAGTATTTAACTTTTCACATATGCGTCTCAGCAGAATTCCACTTGATTTTCAAAAGTCATTTATTTCATTCTTGTCACTTGGCAAGGAATGTCTCAAAAAACTGCCTTGCCTTAGGTACAGTGATAAATGAAGAAATTGATCACAAGAAATTAAGGAGATTTCTGAAAATTATTTTATGGATTAAAATTTTTAACATTTACACTCTTGAAACCTATTTATATAGGGCACTTGTTGGGGAATAGTAAGTACCACAGAAAAATCATGGATTAATTTTTTTATCTCATTTAAAACTTTTGCGTTTCATCTTTATCATCAATGATGGAATTTATTATGCTTAAATAAAATCCATGTTTTCTATAACTTAGCATTTTTATGTTAGACTTTATGTACTTTCTGATTGCTGTAATGGGTATGTAGTTTTTAGATCAAATAAATATTTGGAATCAATTTTATTCCTTTACACCTGTTTCTTAGGACTGCTGTTTAATGTATTGTGGGAGCAACTGTTTCTTTATTAATTGATTATATTATTCTGGGTAACAACTGTACACACACACACACACACACACACACACACACACTGCTACAAAACTGCAAACTTGGAAAATTTTTCTAATATTTAAATAGTATATGTAAGCTTTATCTGTTAAAATTGTTATTTCAGGAGGTAACCATAGTAAGAACTGCCTGTCTGATTTGTTACTATAATGTATTTCACTAAGACATGTGAATTACATTCTTATAAAAAGTTTTCTTCTTATTTTAAAATAAATTGTTTGTAATTGATAATATTGGGTTGTTTTTGTTCCTTATGGAAGAAGAAAAACAATAGTGAGTTTTCAAAGGAACACTAGAATGATGATTCATTAGTCTAATATTAGGATCTAGTCTAATTACTTATTAGACTAATGTGTCTGATAATTAGGATTTTCATATAACAGTGGCAGTAGTGATTCATTGCTGAATGAAAAACATTAATTTCAGTAGATGTGGAGTTTGAAGAGATCATTGACTTGGAGGGGCCTGGGAAGGCTTCATGGAGGAGGGGGATTTTTGCTTAAATGGGTTTGTTGAGTGTAAAGTACTTAAGTAGTGCCTGGCACGTGGTTAGCACTCATTGAATATTGGCTCTTGTTATTGCTGTCCTCAGCAGCAGCTGGGCTTTGCTGAATGGAAAGGATTATAATAAACAGACTTAAGTGAGGATATTCTTGGCTGGGTAATGACATGATTTACTGTGAATATGTGGCATTTATTCTAAAATTGTGAGCTTATTAGTCTAGGTCCTCTGCTCTTTCCATGTTTGACTCCTTTCAGTCTCCTAGATGAGAAGATCACTCTTCTTTTTTTATGATAATAGGAGTGCTAGATTCATCCCTAACCTATATTAGTTAAATTTTTGGTTAATTTTAAAATGAGTATCTCTTTACCAGTAAAGATTTTAATCTTCACTTAAGGATTTTTTCTTTTTTTTCAATAGGAGCATCGGAATTTGCCTTTTATGCGTGAGCTTCGGTATCTATTTGCACTTCTTGTTGGTACTAAAAGGAAATATGTTGATCCATCAAGAGCAGTTGAAATTCTTAAGGATGCTTTCAAATCAAATGACTCCCAGCAGGTAGCTTTGTTGTGCTTACTAGTTTATTAACTTTTTAATTTAATCTGATCTTTTCTTAAGCAGTTTTTTTTCAAAGGTAAATGACAAAGATGTTGTCATTTATCTTTATACAAATAAGCTGGAGCCACTTAAAACATTGTTTATTTGGAAGATTTACTTTTAAATTAAGAAATAGTGATAATCTTGAAAGTATATGATAAATGAAGCTGTAATTTATATTAAAATTACTAAATGAAAGCAGTAGATAAAATTCAGAATGTTCACAAATTTTTAATTAAAAATCTTCACCAAGGTGTGATAACCCAGTGTCAGTATAGTATACACGCTTTTGATATGCCTCTTTTTGCTGGCAGAAAGTAGTTTTCCGTAATTACTCAGAAAAGGTTTCTGAATGACATTAACTTTGTTATTTTATTTTTCTTTTATTGTTCTTTTATTTCCCAATCTTTATGTAGTGCTGTTTGGTTGCTTTTTATCAATTTTTTAGAAAGAATATTGGGAATTTTCCTATAAAAATAGAAAATGTCTATAAACAAACCAACATTTTCACATATAATGTGAGAAGTCAGAGAAATTAAAGAAGGAAAGTGGAAGAGAAGGAAAGAAAGTAACAGAGAATAATAGCAACAGTGTTGGAAAAGATGACAGTGACATAATGGGCAAAAAATAAAGACGATACTTGAGAGGAGATTTAAAAAATCTGCTACGTTTGCAGTGTAGGTGTTGTAGTACTTGGATATATATCTGTTAACGTGGATGTGTGGAGAGCTGAAAGATGTCTGATTTTGCCACTGCCTTCCCTGTGCTTTTTTTTTTTAATTCACTTTTTATGGCAAAGATAAATGAACAAAAAAGGTGGTCACATCAGAATTTGCTTATATTTGTTGCTTTCAGTTTTTCTCCCCCCTAACATTTTCTTCTATAGAGTATTTGATAAGTAGGAAACCTTTTTGTTTCTTGTCAGATATAATCTTGCAGGGTAAATAATGTTATAGAAAAGTATGGAAAGTCATTTTAAAGTCTTATATTAGTTTGATAGGACAGCTGTAACAAATTACCACAGTCCGAGTGATTTCAAGACAATAGAAAATGATTCTCTTATAGTTCTAGAAGGCAGAAGTTCAAAATAAAGGTGTTGGCAGGGCCGTGCTCCCTCCAGTGGCTCTCAAGGAGAATCCTTCCTGTTAAGGCAGCTGTCTTTATATGTTAAGTTTAATTGTCTTTATATGGCTTTGGAGCAATTTATTTAAGTTTCCTAGACCTTAGTTTCAACATTTTAAAGGTAAATAGGTTGTCCCAGATGCTTTTCAAAAAACTTCTAGCTGTGAAAATGTATAATAGTAAGTTTGTTTTATATTTGGGACTCTTTTGATAAAGGCAAATTGCTTACACTTATTTATCTGTCTTTGGGAAGTCATAGTAGGGTTGCTTTATCCCCCCAGCCCACCCCAGCCCACTCCACTCCCCATGCAGGTTCTATACAAACCTGTTTGCTATGCTCCAGGTCGGAGTGTTGAAAGAATTTTATGGTAGTTGACAAGTACAACTGCCACTGCTTATTCCTGTTTATCTATGTCGGGTGATCTAGGACCGAAGGTATGGCAAAAGGTGAAGATTGTGCTGGTTCTGATTGGAGAATCAGAAGTTCATGAGGTGGTAGACTTGATAGTTGGGGAGTCAGTGATTAATTAGGCTCAACCTATCCAAATTAACAGATATCTTAGTAAAATCGGATATGGCTTAAAAAGTTGTGCGTTAACAGTTGAATTGAAAAAATGAATTGTTTAAAAACACATATTCCTTCTAAGACAGAAACCAGTAATAAATCTTTATATAATGAAGAACTCTTTGGTAACTTGGGTCCTTCATTTTATAAAGATTCATTAGAGAGCTCTTTGTGGGGAGGTAATAACTCTTTTTAAAAATCTCATTGATAAGTTTGAATTTATACACACACACACACACACACACACACACACATTTTTTCCCCTCCTAAGGTGAAACCCAGTTACATGATTATGAATATAATGCTTGTTTTTCTCAAATAATGATTTTATGCTCTGGTTAAGTTATAAATATTTCTTGCATTTGATGTGAAACATTTCAGATGATACCGTTGTGAGGAGTCAGTTAATTATACATTTGAAAAGACTGGCTGTAAGTTTTATGTTGCAGTATTTAGTGTTTTCATTGGTAGCCTCGAATATCAACAAGACTTTTTTTCCCCCCACAGCAAGATGTGAGTGAATTTACACACAAATTATTAGATTGGCTAGAAGATGCCTTCCAAATGAAAGCTGAAGAGGAGACGTAAGTTATTGTGAAATTTAGTGATGGAGATAAATTAGGAGATCGATAAATAGCACTCTTTTTTTTTCTTATGTATTCAGTGTCAACAGAGAAATAAGAATCTGAGATAAGTGTGTGGAAACCCAAATGTTATCTGTATTTTTGACAAACTCTTTGGAATTTATGGCCGCAAATGTTGGGTAGCTTTAGATGTCCAATATAAGGTCAGAATCTAGTGAGAGATATCTAAGAAGTGATCTCTGAAAAAGCTAACCCCACATCCTCAGTTCTTATTCCATGAAGTCATATTCCATGAAGAAGAATGGGTCAGTGGTAGGGAAACATGCCAGGAGTAATAATTCTGATGAAATCTTTTTACATGGAATCGTGAGGACATTCACGATTCCTTCCATGTAAAGTTTCTTCTTAACATTCCCTGGGGCTTTTTATTTTGTGCCCATTTGGTTGAACCACTAAGACTCTGGTCACTTAAAATATATGGGCAGACCTCCTTAAGGGAAGAAGTTCACACACTTTCAGGGTGGTCCTACTCCCACTCTTCTGAGGCCACTCTCCTAACACTGAACATTGGTTCCTTTGTGCATCTTCCTGAAACATTGGTGGACCATTTAGGATTTGCCACCGCAGGTTCTGATATGATTCTACAAGATGCATTACGTAAATTAACACCTAGAATACAGGCAAAAATCCAAGGCTGAAAATTCTTTCCTTCTCTTTTTAATCTATTTTTGTTCTTATTTGTTCTACTTCCAGTTTTATTGAGATATAATTGACATAACAGCACTGTGTAAGTTTGAAGTATACAGCATAATTATTTGACTTACATACATCATAAAATGATTACCACAATAAGTTTAGTGAACATTCATCATCTCATATAGGTACAAAATATAAGAAAAAGAAAAAAATATTTATTCCTTGTGACGAGAGCTCTTAGAATTTATTCTTACAAATTTCAAATATAACATATAGCAGTGTTAATTGTATTAATCATTTCAGTACTTATTTATCTTATGACTGGAAGTTTGTACCTTTTGACCACCTTTGTCATCATACAAAGATATTTGATTATTATTGACTATATTCCCCATGTTGTACATCCCTGTGACTCACTTATTTTGTAACTAGAAGTTTCTACCTCTTAATTTCCCTCACCTACTTCACTCATCTCCCGCCACCATCCACTTTCCTACTGGCAACCATCTGTTTGTTCTCTGTATCTATGACTCTGTTCTGTTTTATGTTTGTTCATTTGTTTTTTAGATTCCATATGTGAGTGAAATGATACAATATTTGTCTTCCTCTGTCTGACTTATTTCACTTAGCATAATACCCTCTAGGTCTATCCATGTTGTCACAAATGGCAAGGTTCCATTCTTTTTTTATGGCTGAATAATATTACATGGAATGTGTATATACTCAAACACACACACACCTTTATCCATTTATCAGTGGGCACTTAGGTTGCATCTCTATCTTCGCTATTGTGAATAATGCTGCAATGAACTTAGGGGTGCATATATCTTTTTGAATTAGTGTTTTTGTTTTCTTTGGATAAATATCCAGAAGTGGAATTGCTGGCTCATATATGGTAGTTCTGTTTTTAACTTTTTGACAGCCTCCCTACTGTTTGGCATAGTGACTGCACCAATTTACATTACCACCAAGAATGCATGAGGGTTCCCTTTTCTCCACATTTTCACCAACACTTGTTGTTTGCTGTCTTTCTTGTTTGTTTAGCCTCCATGTGTTTGTGTTTTTTACATTTTTTTCCCTGTAATTTATTTCTAATCTCATAGTGTTGTGGTCAGAAAAGATGCTTGATATGATTTCAATTTTCTTAAATTTACTGAGGCTTGATTTGTGACCCAACATGTGATCTATCCTGGAGAATGTTCCGTGTGCACTTGAGAAGAAAATGTAATCTGCGGTTTTCAGATTGAATGTCCTATAATTTCAATTAAGTCTATCTGGTCTATTGTGTCATTTAAGCTTGTGTTTCCTTATTAATTTTCTGTCTGGATGATCTGTCCATTGGTGTAAGTGAGGTGTTAAAGTCCCCCACTATTATTGTGTTACTGTCGATTTCCTCTTTTATAGTTCTTAGCATTTGCCTTATGTATTGAGGTGCTCCTATGTCGGGTGCATATATATTTATAATTGTTATACGTTCTTCTTGGATCGATCCCTTGATCATTATGTAATGTCCTTCCTTGTCTCTTGTAACATTCTTTATTTTAAAGTCTATTTTATCTGATATGAGTATTGCTACTCCAGCTTTCTTTTGATTTCCATTTGCATGGAACATCTTTTTCCATCCCCTCACTTTCAGTCTGTATGTGTCCCTAGGTCTAAAGTAGGTCTTTTGTAGACAGCATATAGATGGGTCTTGTTTTTGTATCCATTCAGCAAGCCTGTGTCTTTTGGTTGGAGCATTTAATCCATTTCCATTTAAGGTAATTATCGATATGTATGTTCCTATTACCATTTTCTTAACTGTTTTGGGTTTGTTTTTGTAGGTCCTTTTCTTGTGTTTCCCACTTAGAGAAGTTCCTTTAGCATTTGTCGTAGAGGTGGTTTGGTGGTGCTGAATTCTCTTAGCTTTTGCTTGTCTGTAGAGCTTTTGATTTCTCCATTGAATCTGAATGAGATCCTTGCTGGGTAGACTAATCTTGGTGGTAGGTTCTTCCCTTTCATCACTTTAAATATGTCCTGCCACTCCCTTCTGGCTTGTAGAGTTTCTGCTGAGAAATCAGCTGTTAACCTTTTGGGAGTTCCCTTTTATTTTATTTGTCATTCTTTCCTTGTTGCTTTTAATAACTTTACTTTGTCTTTAATTTTTGTCAGTTTGATTACTGTGTGTCTCAGCGTGTTTCTCCTTGGGTTTATCCTGCCTGGGACTCTCTGTGCTTCCTGGACTTGGGTGGCTATTTCCTTTCCCATGTTAGGGAAGTTTTCAGCTATAATCTCTTCAGATATTTTCTTGGGTCCTTTCTAGGTCTCTTCTCCTTCTGGGACCCCTATAATGCGAATGTTGTTGCGTTTAATGTTGTCCCAGAGGTCTCTTAGGCTGTCTTCATTTCTTTTCATTCCTTTTTCTTTATTCTGTTCCACGGCAGTGAATTCCACCATTCTGTCTTCCACGTCACTTATCCGTTCTTCTGCCTCAGTTATTCTGCTATTGATTCCTTCTAGTGTATTTTTCATTTCAGTTATTGTATTGTTCATCTCTGTTTGTTTGTTCTTTAATTCTTTTAGGTCTTTGTTAAACATTTCTTGCATCTTCTCAATCTTTGCCTCCATTCTTTTTCTGAGGTGCTGGATCATCTTCACTATCATTATTCTCAATTCTTTTTCTGGAAGGTTGCCTATCTCCGCTTCATTTAGCTGTTTTTCTGAGGTTTTATCTTGTTCCTTTATCTGGTACATAGTCCTCTGCCTTTTCATTTTGTCTATCTTTCTGTGAATGTCGTTTTCATTCCACAGGCTGGAAGATTGTAATTCTTCTTGCTTCTGCTGTCTGCCCTCTCGTGGCTGAGGCTATCTAAGAGGCTGTTGCAAGCTTCCTGCTGGGAGGGACTGGTGGTGGGTAGAGCTGGGTGTTGCTTTGTTGTCTTTTTGATAATAGCCATTCTGACAGGTGTGAGGTGATATATCATTGTGGTTTTGATTTGCATTTCCCTGATGATTAGTGATGTTGAGCATCTTTTCATATGCCTGTTGGCCATCTGTATGTCTTCTGAGAAAAGTCTCTATTCAGCTCCTATGCCCATTTTCTTAATTAGGATTTTTTTAATATATATATATTGAATTGTATGAGTTCTTTGTATATTTTGTATATTAACTCCTTATCAGACATATCATTTGCAAATATCTTCTCCCATTTAATAGGTCGCCTTTTCATTTTGATAATAGTTTCCTTTACTCTGCAGAAACTTTTTAGTTTGATGTAGTCCCATTTGTTTATTTTTGCTTTTGTTTCCTTTGCCTGAGGAGACATATCCAAAAAAATTTTGCTAAGATTGAAGCCAAAAAGCCTACTGCCTATGTTTTCTTCTAAGAGTTTCATGGTTTCAAGTAGTCATTAATACATTTTAAGTTTATTTTTGTATATGATGTAAGAAAGTGGTTTGATTTAATTCTTTTGCATGTAGCTGTCCAGTTTTCCCAACACCATTTACTGAAGAGGCTTTCTTTTCCCTATTGTATATTCTTGCCTCCTTTGTTATACATTAATTGAGCATATAAGTGTGGGCTTATTTCTGGGCTCTCTGTTCTGTTCCATTTATCTACCTGTCTGTTTTTGTGCTGGTACTATACTCTTGATTTCCATAGCTTTGTAGTAGTATAGTTTGAAATGAGGAAGCATCATACCCTTGGTTTTAGCTAACAATTTTTTTTACATATATCTATTCTTTTTCAGATTCTTTTCCCATATAGGTTATTACAGAGTATTGGTTAGAGTTCCCTGGGCTATACAGTAGGTCCTTGTTGATTATCTATTATATATATAGTAGTGTGTATATGTTAATCACAACCTCCTAATTTATCCCTTCCCCTCCACCTTTCCCCTTTGATAACCATAAGTTTGTTACCTATTTCTGTGAGCCTGTTTCTGTTTTTTAAAGTTCATTTGTATCATTTTTTTAGATTCTACATATAAGTGATATTGTGCGATACTTGTCTTTGTGTGACTTACTTCACTTAGTATGATAATCTCTACTCCATCCATGTTGTTGCAGATGGCATTATTTCAGTATTTTTTTTATGGCTGAATAATATTCCATTGTATATATGTAACACATGTTCTTTATCCGTTTATCTGTCAGTGGATATTTAGGTTGCTTCCATGTCTTGGCTATTGTAAATAGTGCTGCATTGAACACTGGGGTACGTGTATCTTTTTGAAGTATGGTTTTCTCCAGATATATGCCCAGGAGTAGGGTTGCTGGATCATATGATAGCTCTATTTTTAGTTTCTTAAGGAAACTTCATACTGT